GTGCACACTGCTGCTGCCCCCTTGGCTGGAACCAGGGGGTGAAGACATAGACGCTTCTCCTGCTTGGGCTCTGCACACCTTGGGAAAATCCATCTGAATGGGGATCCCTCATGCAGGGGCTGTTCTGGCGCCAAGGACTTTGGGGGTTCTTCTCCGCTTTCTCCATTTGACTATTTCTCCCTGGTTCCTGAAACATAGCTCTCACTGCCAGGGCCACTGCCATGGGAAGCAGTTGCCTCTCACTGTCCCCAAGCCCTCTGAGGAGCTCTTCTTAAGGATCTAGGTTGGCCCTGCTCCTAGAAGTCCTCAGTGGGCTTGACCTTCTCACCAGCTGGGACACCTGTTCCCCCACCCCCTGCCATCCAGACCTTCCTTGGGCCTGCCTGGGCCTCTAGTCATGCGATGACTCAGGTAGACAGGACCCCAAGGGGATCTGTCCCAGTGTGGCCACCAGGTACCCTGGTTACTGGGCAGAGTTTGAGGGAACTGGATCCTTGATTGGAGGAGGGGAAGCAGCATGCATGTGTACAGTAGACCCAGCAGTGGTCTTCCACAATAAAAAATGACGTGGCATGAAGAATCTGTCATCGTGTACTGTACTGGCACCCAGGGTCGAAAATCAATGTTGGTTATCCGGGTGCTCAGACATCCTCATTGGGATTCTTCATGTGGGGTTCTTTCATTTGTGTCCTGCTCACATGATCATTCCTTTAGACAGCTGCTCTCTGTCGGCCTGTCTACCTCCCATATCCCTGCCTACTCTCTTCCCGGTGCGCCTGCTGGCCTGAGATGGAGGAGGAGGTTTAAAGAGCACACTGCTGTCCTCAAGGAACTGCTGGTCTAGTGCAGACAGGCGAGTAAGCGGCCAGTCCTGACCCAGTGTGAAGGGAGACCTGGCTGAGTGTGGCCACGACACTTAGAACTCACATGAGAAGCCACCAGTCTCAGGGAAGGCTGAAAGAAGAGGTGTGTGAAATGAGTCCTAAAGACGAGGTAGATGTTCCCAAGGAAAACAAAGAGTGAGGGTGGTCTCCCCAGTGCCTGCCCTTTTCCCCACCGGAGGAGCCCTGGGGCACCATGGATTGGGCAGTGGATTTTTTAGCCACCAGCTAGCTACTCAGGAGAAAGAGGAGGCTGTCTGCTCTGTCTCAGAAACCCAGTGGAGCGGCGGTGCTCTGTCCTGTAGTGTCTCTGAGTCAGAATCAAGTCAAAGGCAGTGGTTTTGGTTTGGGGCTATTCTCTTTCTTATCCTACGCCTCTGGCATGGTGGTAAAGCATGCAATGGCTGCTAGCCACAAGGTCAGCAGTTTGAAACCACCCGTCACTCTGTAGGTGAAAGACAAAGCCTTTCTACTCCCGTACAGAGTTATGGCCTCGGAAACTCCCAGGGGCAACTCTAACCCTGTCCTAGAGTTGTCACTGTGAGTCAGCTTCGACTCAATGGCAGTGAGTTTGGGTTTTACTTCTTGATTTGCTTTTGGTTGCCTCTGCAAATCGACAAGGGCCACGTTGATGAGGGAGTCCCAGTGCTTACTCAGCTGTTCCAGCGGGCCCCTTCGGAGGGGTCTACTTCCTCTTGCTCGCCTCTTTCCTTTTCTTCCAAGCCTCCAGCACAGAACTCTCCAGGGTTGTGCCCATGTGCCTGGCCTTTGGACACCTCACGTTATTGGCTTTAAGTCTTTCATCATGTGCCGTGCCAGAGGAGGCTCTTCCTCCACCTCCCTCTGTGCTCCGTCTACACTAGAGGGGAGAAGGACAGGGACAGGTGCCAGGTTTTGTGTATTAGTAATTGGGGTAGCGCTTAGCTAAGTATCATAAGGAAATCCCACAATTTCAGTGGCTTGACCCAATAGTCGTTTATTTCTCATTTACATAGCAATCCAATGGGGTGGGGGTGTCTTCTGGTGCATGGGAGAAGTTCTTCCATATGGATTTTCAGGTTCTTTCTATCTTGTAACCCCACCACCACCACCACCACCAATTCTGGGGAGTTACTAGGGAAGTTACCACGTCACCTCAAGTGAGGATCAGTAAACAGGAAGGACACCGTCATTGGTCTATAGTAACCCTCTCCTCAGCCAGCAGGCAAGTCTCTCTCTTGCTCTGATCCTCAGTCTCTCAGCCACATGGCGCTTGGCCTCTGCCTCCACCGGTCAGGAAGACTGCCTGTGTTCTGCTGCTTCGGCTCATTGTCGTCTTGGCGCGGCTCCTCTGCTCTGCCTCGTGGTTTCCTTGGCGTGGTCTCTGGTCTCAGCCGGCTCTGTGGCCCTGTCCATGGTCTCTGCGCCA